TAGTATTAGAATAGTGTGCGTCTCAGCAAATGAAGGTAGTAATGCTTTGATTGTGTAGGCTTCCTTAAAGACAGCATGTAACACTGGTGAGATTTATCTTTTAAAAGCTTTATACCACATCACACCAAGACCATCAGGCCCAGGCGACTTGGCCGCGGCGAGATTATCTATTGTATTTTCAATTCAATAAACGGTTATAGGCCTCTCTAATCTTTTCGAGGAATGATTGCGGCATCCGGTGCAGGAAAGTGTCCTTGAGCTTTGTAACGTCGACTAATGCGGCTGCGAAGAGACCCTTGTAATACCGAAAGAAGGCTTCTGCGATAGTGCTGTTAGTATTTAGCAGAATGTCATTTTCCTCTATTTCGTCGATGTGATTGCGACGCGGTCGCGATTTCTCAATTCCAAGCGCGTGCTTGGAAGGAGTCTCTCCCATAGCCCACGCATCTGCTCTCGCTCGAAGAAGGGCTCCTCTGTAGCGTTTCTGGTCAAATAGCTGAATTTGTCGTTTAATCGTTCGAATATCTTCCTTATACTCCCCGGGCTATTTACTTTCTAGTGCTATCATTTTCTTGAACGTTGTTCTGAGTTCATTTTCTTTCATTCTTTCTTCGTGTTTTAAAACACTACATCTCCATATGGCTTTCATTTTAACGCTTTGATTCGAAAGTTCCCATTCCTCGCTAATATTACAGGCGCCGATTCCTTTATTGTTCTTAATTCTCTCTATCACAAAGTTATTGAAATTGTCATCCCGGAGTAGTTTAGCGTTAAACTTCCATGAATCCCAACTAAATTTATTTTCATTTTGTTAAAGTCTCACGTTACAATATACAAGACAATGATCAGAGAAAGAAACAGGTAAGACTGTGTAACTATTGCTTTTAGCAATCGCCTCCCCAGCCATGTATATCCTATCAAGGCGTGCGTGGCTGGTTCCCTGAAAATGCGTAAAACGAACTTCCCGACATGCCTCTAGGCCGTCCGCTACATCATCCAAGTTGGGTTCATTCAGCAAGTCATAGAGCACTTCAACACTTCTATCTCGCCAATGCCTCCTAGAAAATTTTTCTAGGAGGCGTTGATCTCGCATACGGTGGTTGTTAATTCTATCCTTCGCGCTCAATACACAATTGAAATCTCCCAATAAAACAAGCTGCTTTGATGTCCGTAAATGTTGCTTAATTAACGAAAAGAAAGTTTCCCCATCCACGCATCTATAGACACAAACGAAGCACCATTCAATTTCGCTTATACTAAAATCACAGATCACTCGTCTGCCAGGGTCGCAAGAGAAGTGGCTTTGAACAATCAATGCCGGAATCTTTTTTTAACAAAAAAGCACACAACCAGCGGAATTTCCATTTGTATGACTAAATACAGAATAATATTTAGACGTACACCGCAACATCATGCTCCGGATCGGATTGGATAAACTTTTATTTGGTCCTCCAAAACACAGATCACTGTGTTGCGGGCAGCTCCCACGTGGGGACTGAGATGCCAAGCTCCTCAGCCGCCTCGCGGGCTTGGTGGACAGCCCAGAGCTGATCTGCCAAGTACGAGCTTCGGATTGCCGCCTCCCATCTGGCAGAGGTGATGTTCGATAAATGAGCGAATTTGGTGCACTGCCAGAGCATATGTGCTAATGAAGCTATTTCCCCACAATGTGGACAAAGATTACTTGGGTATAGGTCAGGGTACATGATGTGTAACATTTTCAAAGTAGGGTACATCCGCGTTTGCAAAAGCCTTAATGTAAGTGCTTGGGGCCGGGTTAGATTTTTGTGAGGTGGAGGGAAAATCCTTCTAGATAGGTAGAAATGTTTAGTGAGCTCGTTATATGTTGTAAGAATTTCCCGGTTATCCCCTTCACCGGTAGAACGCATCCCCGGGGAGGCGCGGTTGGAGAGTTCTCGCGCCGCCTCGTGTGGTGCTTCATTGAGATTGGGAGGGGAATCGTTGATTTGTCCAAGGTTAGCTGGAAACCAACTCAGAAGATGATGTGTTATGTTCCTGCCTTGCAGTATTCTCAGCGTTTGTTCAGAGACCGTCCCCTTGGCGAACGCCCGTAGTGCTGCCATGGAATCACTGTAGACGACTTCAATGTTATCCATCTTGAGTGCTAAGGCGATGGCCACCTGTTCCGCAATGATTGGGTCTTTCGTCCTGACTGTCGCTGAGTTGACGACATGGCCAGCCCCATCGACCACCACTGCCACAAACGCTTTCCCATTGGCGTAGGAAGCCGCGTCAACAAATACGACCCCTCATTCCTCGTTTGAGACTTGACGAAGTATAGTCCTGGCCCTCGCTACTCTTTTTCCGACGTTGTGTTCTGGATGCATGTTTCTTGGTATAGGAGATACCGTGATAGTCTCCCTGATGTTATCAGGGATATCATTGTAATTGCGTCTGATTGCTATTGGGTGTTGGCCCAGATCCTGCAGGATCATTCTCCCCGACCTTGTTGTCCGGATCTCCTCCTCACCTTCCACTTTTGTCTCTTGTACGGCTAGCACGTCAATATCTTGGTCAATTTACAAGCGGTACACTTGAGCCTGCTTTTTCTTGGAGGCCAAACCTCGGACGTTTAAGGTTGCAAAGCTCAGTGCCAAGTGATTAGCCATCGTTACACAATGAAAAAGAGAGGGTAGGCGCGGAGCATAGTGCTTAGCGTTTACGTCAAGCTCACTGCTAGACGTCTCTGGGACCATTCAGTGGTCTGGCATCAGTTTGTTGCTGGTCACTTGCAGTGCCAACCGGTCGGTCCACTGGTAGATTGGACCTCGCTCTGAGGCCCGAGCACCGCGCCGGTGTCGCCTTCGCTGGTGGTTCCTCGACTTTGCTCTCGTGAATGGTGCCCGCAGATTTCTCCAGCGAACGTTTAACCGCTGAGCTCGTGTTGATCCCATGGCATGTCGCGTCTTGCCGCAGCTTGCGTCGACATGTCTGCTAGTTGGCTTTGTGCGTCTTCAGTGGAATTCTGTTGACTGGTATCCGCCATAACCGTTTCTTTCTCCTCGTATTCAGACGCTGCATCGTACTCTTCAGGCAAAACCGACCCGCGTTCATCCAGAGAACTAGCCACGTCTCCTGCCCCCTTAGCCACGTCCTCCGCCTCGGCGGCGTTCATGGTCTGCTCTCCGATACCATCGTTCGTTGCAGCGCTCGTAACCGCTGCGCAAGACCGGACGCACTGGGCGTCTCGATGACCAAATCACCGACAACTTGAACACCGTGGCACCCTGCAGTCCCGCCGTGCATGACCGGTCCCTTTGCACCGCAAGCATTGCATAGGCCAGCCCGGCGCGACAATTAGGGCAAATTCCCCTACAACGCGTACTTGGTGCGGAAGGTCCTCCAACGAGTACTCTTGAGTAGCACAGTTCTGGTCATCGACCCCTTGTCGCTGACGCCGTCGACTCTCCAGCGTTCTCGATTCACTTCGACCACATTGCCGAAGGCCGCGAACGCCATCCGCACATCCTCATCGGCGACTCCGTAAAGCAGCCAATGAAACCGCAGTTTTATCTGCCGGTCCTGGGGATCGACGATGAGACACCGTTGTCCCTTCACCTGAAGTTCCTTGAAGGACAGCAGTTTTTTCGTCGCGCCTTCTCCGTTCAGTGTGAGCGTCCAGACGTGGTTAGTCTGGTACACTTCGAGTGCAATGACGTCAGATAGCAGTCCAGTGGGACGCAACGCGTCTCTGAAGTCTTCAACCCTATAGGGTCTCGCTCGAACGTCTCCATGCAAAAATACAGAGTATAAGACAACGCGTCCTGCTGGCAGATGAGGCAGAATCACTTGGTATTCTTGAGTTGACTTGTTACCGTGGCCCTCAAGGGCTGCTGTAGCCGCTCCGACGGAGCCCTTCATCCTGCGTCTGTTCACTACCGTGCAGAATCCTGAGCACCGCAGCGGCGAAGGCAGAATCCTGAGCTATCCTATGGGTACCTCCGCCAACGATCAAACGGCAAGCTATTCGTATCTACCACTTACCGCTGTTGGCAGGAATCTCGGTGGGGGGGACTGTCGTGTTTTCAGCATTATCAGCAAGATGGCACAGTAAGCGTGCGGTGGCTCTCACGATGGCCCGCGTAGAGAATAAGGGGGTGTGCGCTTGATCGCGCGCTCTTATCTTGCAGTGGGGAGAATCGTACGTCTTGGCTAGCCTTTGGGTTTCGTGAGAACGATTCTGTTGTAGTTAGTGGGTGCACAAAGGTCACTGCAATTGTTGCACAGCATCCGTTTGCGAAATGAGCACGATTTTCAGACACAGCGAAGTAACAACTGATACGCTCATTCGCGTTCATCTGTACCTGTGAGTACGTTTCGTGCGTCATTTGTGCGTGAGAAACGCGGGGCACGTTACGATCTGCTTGACATTCTGTGCGTCACCTTCTGTGGCGTTCATTGCTTCACCTTTGCGGCAAAGCTGTTACTTTTTTGAGCAGCTTGAGTTTTGATAGGGTTGAGTGTATGTGAACCTGCTTATGATTAGGCTTGAACCAGTTTTTTTTTTTTTTTTTCGTGCAGGCCTCTCTTTTTCTTTGCGATTCTTTCAAGTATCCGAGCTATTTGCTTCACAGTCGTTTTCAGTGTTGCGATAGTGTAATCCGCTCGCCTGTTACTTTGGATCGAGAGGTTTAATACCCGCATTTTGCTCCTTTGCGGAAACGTGCTGTCCTCTAACTGAAAATGCTCATTACGCCTGAAGCGGTAGTTTCCTCCGTGAAATCCCATCCATTCGGACTTTTTTGGTGCACATACCATGCTGTGTTCTGCCGGAATATGTTCAACAGTTCCACGCGCAGCAGCGAAAGTGACAGACGAGAGACGATCGCCGTATGTGTCATACGACAGTCGCCTTCGCTGCTGCGCGTGGCAAATTCAAATCGAGCGCCACTAACTGCGGAGGCGCACGCATGTGACAACACCGCGCCGCACTGGCGGCATTTGTCCCCGCGTTTGCGAAGGGAGACAGCGGAGGGCGCACGCTGCCCACGCTCGCACGCCGCCGGAGCCCGAGAAGTAGCGATTGCTGTCAGTGGGTGTGCGCGCACAACGCCCGTGTACGATGGGCAGCCTCCAAAATGCCGTTAGGTCCGGTGCGAGCGCTTCAGCGTCGGGACGTGACAGCCCGCCGGTCAGTTTCGGTCAGCTGGGAATACCGACGGGCCCGGATCTACGGAACACTACTCTTTTTGGGCCGGTAAAGTACTTAGCTGCAGCAACAGCTGTTCTCTATGGCGCGGTCGGTGGGGTGCGTCAGTTGCACGCTCACCGACGTCTACATTTAGAATGCCGCACAATGCGTACTGCAAGCGCCGCATGTCGCGCCGAATGCCGTTCGCAAGATCACGCGTGACGTTGGTGACTTGTGACCCTTGATTGCGCAGCTGGTGTCAAATCACTTCGTTGTTGACAAAAACGCCCGTACGCGTTAACGGTACTATGATGTAGGTAAAACAAACTCTTTCGACTGTCTTTAGGGAAATCTTGATTCCCGGCTTGCAAATGCGCGCGCTCTAATCTTGCTTATCAATTCTTTGGTGCCCTGGCCGAGCATTCAACCCGATAGTCCTTTTCGTTCAGGCTTGTAATGCTCTGAAAAGGTACAACATACCTTTTTATGGCATTGCGCGCCTCATGCAGCTAGCATTCTAATTTCTAACATCACTATAGGCTTTTTCTTCTCGAAGTTCTTGTAGTCTTCAATATAAACTGATGCGATGTGTCCGTCAAAACACCCATCAAGCTTCACTAAGAGTTTTCGTCGTACGTGTATATGTTCAAGCGAACAAGATGTTGTTTCCTTCGCAAAACTGCATAGTGTCTAAGCGCACCAGGGCCCGCGTATATTTGTTGTTTATTGCTGTTGTTTATACTGTTGACCTGTGCACTATATACATGCAAAGCCTTAGTGCAACATAAAGCCATTGCCGAAAAGCCTGTAAGTGTCCTAAACTGCACACTTGGCAGGAAAGCAAGACCATGGATAAGCTATGCATTAAATGTGCTTCTTTTGCCATAGTTTTTTTTCTTGGTTTAAGTCATTACTGGCCCCAAAGTGGATTAATTATGAGTGCAATACTAATGCACATGCTTCATAAAGAGGGTGACACTGCAACGGTTGATACTACTACATTTCAAGGTTTAGCTGGCACCATACAGCTAAGCAGTATTCTTGTTTTGAATTCTTGAATCTGCAAGCAGCAAAGTATCATAGCAATTGATCCACAGCAGTATGCCTTCATGCTATGGTAAGCCACTCTTGCAGGCAAGCAAGTTGTTCATCAAGCATGTACTATAGCGTTATCACTGTAAAACATATCTAGCGGCCCTAGATTTATTTTTTTGACAAAGCTGCCCATGGTACCCATGCATGTAACAAGAAACTAAACAGTTATTAGTGCTTTTACATACCAAAAAGTTATAGTGGTGGTTGTTTATTGTCCCTGTAAATGCTTCTTCTGGAACACGATTGTCGCTTCTATTGTTTAATGGTTTATTCTACAGGTGAGACTGATCATCTTACTGCAACTTTGTCCCTCATAACAATAGTTATAGCATGAAAACAGAATGATGACACGGAAACAAGAAGGACACGAGCGCTAACTTCCAACTCAAGCGCTCGTGTCCTTCTTGTCTCTTTGTCGTCGTTCTGTTCTCGCGCTATAACTATCGTCATGTCATACAAACTAACCCAAGCTGCCACACTTTTATCCCTCAGCCTCTTCACTCAATCACTACATTAATTCTCCTTGTCTTTGCATTTCAATTGCATGTCATATATTCACATGACTGTACCTGGCCTGCATCGCCCAAACCACATGCGAGCCTTAATGGTCAGAACACCTCGACAGACTTTTCACACGTGCAGTCATAGTTTAGTGGTAGATACAATGCCATGGTAGCTTTTGAGTGTCACTATATTACAATTTAAAACTTTAAAGGACCAAGAAACCTTTTTCTCAACTTGCAAACCTTTTAATTAAAAAAAAAAAAAAAACTTAAGGGAGGTCATCGCTTCGTTGAATCGAGTTTTAGCAGGACTTTCATATCCACCACCTTTTCATTGTAATATTGACTCATACTCTTACATAAGAGCTGACATCCAAATGGCCAGATTCGTAGCCACACGAAGTGCTTACCTCATGCAGTTGCGTCTACCAGTCATTATACTTAATGTCTCAATGCCTCATTTCATTTCATGAGCACTGTACCGACAACAACACCTCTGGTACTGTGCTTTGATGAGATATCCTTGTTCTTGTATCAACAATGTTGTTACTTGTAAAAACTGGCGTGTCCATGGCACTACGGTTTGGCACAACATAGGACAGAGAGGGGCAGCAGAGACCCTAACTGAGCAAGCAGCTCCCTCCCTCCTTTGGGAGATTTCAGATATGTGTTGTCTTCTCCCCTCCCACGACTTTCTCTGTTTTCTTATGCCAATGAAGGCAAATGAAAACAGTGAATGTATGTATAATCAAAAAGCATTTAATTAAAAGCATGGGTGTGCATTCTTTATTCGTGGCAGCTCTTTCACCAACATCTTCAATTTTTATCTATTACTAAGCAAGCCCCCCCCCCCCCCCCTCCAAACCTTGTCGAATCATCCTTCACCCTATGGAGGGGTGGGGGGGGGGAGCACTTTCTAAGGATCCGATGATAACTGTAGCAGCCAATCGCCTCCACGACCAAAGAAACTGTCCTACTCATGTTCTCGACCAAGTTATTTGTCAGCAGGATTAACGACCATCTAATTCTTACGGCTAGCCCGTTTTTTGAAGAAGGTATTTAAGATCAGTAAATTATTATGTTCTGCAAACTCCACTAATAACTCCCCTCTGGCATTTCTAGAGCCGATGCCATATTCCCCCACTGCATGGTCCCTGGCCTGTTTATTGCCTACTTTGACATTAAAGTCGCCTATCAGATTAGTAAACGGTGATTTTACTTTATTAATGGCTGAATCTACGTCTTCATAGCAGCATTCAATCAAATGATCATCATGGCTCGATGTAGGTGTCTTGGCCTGTACCACCTTCATCTTGTAACTTTTATTAAACTTAATTATGATACTTGCTACCCTCTCACTCATGCTATAGTATTTCTCTATGTTGCCAGCGATATTTTTGTGGATAAGAAACCTCACCCCCAGTTTTTTTCTGTCAACTAATTCACGATGGCATAGAACTTGTCCGTTCTTCAGCACTGTATAAGCCTCATGTGTCCTCCTAACTTAGCCGGGTCCTATCACATCCCATTTAACACCTTCTAATTTCTTGAATAGCACAGCTAGACTAGCCTTACTAGATAGCGTTCTAGCGTTGAAGGTAGCCAAGTTCAGATTCCAATAGCGGCCTGTTTGGACGAAGAGATTCTTAGCACCCTCCGCTGCATCACAAGCCTAACCGCCACCTTGGACAGTTGCTTCGCCGCCGCTGAGGACTGAGGGCCAAGGGTGAATTGCGGTAGTCATGAGATGTAGTGGCCAAATACTGCACCAGGGTGGCCTATCCTGCTCTGGTGAGAGAGTGCAAGTGAGGGAGTGCATGTGGAAGTAGTTGGCAAGATCTGATACAGAGATCATAAAATGGTAAGAGCTCGTTTTCACCGAGATTTTAAAAAAAGCAATGACAGAAAGTGATACGCAAAAAGCCAAATAATGAACTAGCAGTGAGAGGGAAAGTGCATCAGAGTTTCTTTTCAGAATAGATTCAAGGCACTAAACGAGATAACCGACATTAGCGTTGACAGAATGAACTATGACAGAATCATACTACTATCATCAAAGAGCGTGCAATGGAAGTCAGAGGTACGGTCACTAGACAGGACACTGGCAAACTATCTCAGGAGACGCAAAATCTTAAGAGACCACAAGTCATGAAAGTCTCAAATGCAACTGACAAAATAGAGCTAGTGGAGCTTTCGAAGTTAATCAATAGGTGTAAGGTAGCTGACAGCAGCAGGATATAAAAAGCGGCAGAAGCCTAAAAGCTGCAGGGGCAAACTTGTGCATAGGCAAAAATCGGATGTATGCATTAGGAACAAGGAAGGCAATGTCATGGCCAATATGAATAGTATAGTTGACGTGGCGGAGGAGTTCTACAGAGAGATGTACAGAAGCCAAAACAACCAGGGTGATATCGTGAAAAACAATAATACTCCAGAGGGATTCGACATCCTACCAGTCATGACAGGAGAAGTAAGGAAAGCCCTAGAAGGAGTGCAAAGAGGCAAAGCTGCTGGTGTAAATAAAGTAACTGCAGGCCTCCTGAAAGATGGCGGAGAAATTGTGTTAGAAAAACGCCACCTTATATACGAAGTGTCTCTTGATGGGAAAGATGCCAAAATCTTGGAAGAACACCAACATCATCTTATTCCATAAGAAAGGAGACGTCAAGGACTTTAAAAATTGCAAGCTGATCAGCTTACTGTCCGTTCTCTACAAACTATACAAAAATAATAACTAATAGAATTAAGGTAACATTTGAGTTCAATCAACCAAAGGACCAAGCAGGACTTCGTTCAGGCTACTTTACAATAGACCATATTCATACTATCAACAAGCTAATAGAGAAATGTGTGCAATAGAACCAACCACTATACATAGCCTTCATAGATTACGAGAAGGCATTTGAATCACTCGAGACATCAGCAGTAATGCAGGCACTCTGGAATCAGGGCATCAAAGAACCCTACATAAACATACTGGAAGAAATCTACAGCGGATACACAGCCACCATAGCTCTCCATAAAGAAAGTGACAGAATCCCAATAAAGAAGGGTGTAAGCATAGAGTTTCTCACAAACATACCTAGAGGGATGTGTGGCGTCACTGTCTATGCAAATTTCCTAAGGGAGCGCTAGCAATGAGGATATATGTGTCTACGAGGCTTGTGTTGGCTGGTTTTCGGCGATACTTCGGCTCAAAAGTGAATACGAGTGCGTAAATAAAGCTTCTCTAACACAAAACGTTTATAAATGGATCGCATTCATGTGCATTATATTCTAAAAAAAAGCCCACTCACCTTTGCGGCATTATCAAATAGAGAAAAAAGAAACTGACGACATAAAGTGGCATAGGAAACGCTCGCTTTGCCATCTGCTTGCCAAGTTTAGAGGCCGTTGGTTACTCTTTATGCTTCGTAAAATTGTACATCGACGCAGAAGGTTCTAGTGTTAAATAAAGCATGTTTCTTTGTGATGGCAAGAAATAAACAACTTATTATGCGCTCTTTTATTAAGAAATTAACCATTTTAACATGAAGCCAGGCGCGTCTTCAAGATATACAAATCTGAGTTAAGTTCAAAGCTCAAATTTCCCGGCGTTGTCTTGCATCCAGCAGCTCACTAGCGCCAGATTTCCCTCTAGGTAAATTGGTGAGAAACTCTATGGGTGTAAGGCAAGGAGACACGATCTCTCCAATGCTGTTCACTGCATGTTTACAAGAGGTCTTCCGGACCATAGATTGGGAAGAGTTAGGGATAAGAGTTAATGGTGAGTATCTTAGTAGCTCGCGATTCCCTCATGACATTGCTTTGATGAGTAACTTATGATTACTGAACTGGATGTGGAAAGCAGAGAAGTAGGTCTGAAGATTAATATGCACAAAACGAAAGTAATGTGCAACAGTCTCGGCAGAAAACAGCGCTTTGCGATAGGTGGAGAGACGATGGAAGTTCTAAAGCAATATGTCTATTAGGACAGGTAGTAACCACGAAGTTGACCGATGAAAGTGAAATAACTAGAAAAATAAGGATGGGGTCGATAAAATTCAGCAAGCATTCTCAAATCATGCATGGCAACCTGTCACTAACCCTCAAGAGGAAGGTATATTGCTGCATTTTGCCAGTGCTTGCGTACGGAGCAGAAACCTGGAGGAGCACAAAGAGGGTTCAGCTTAAATTGAGAATGACACAGTGAGCGATAGAAAGGAAAATGATAGGCGTAAGCTTAAGAGACAAGAACAGAGCAGAGTGGGTCAGAAAACAAACCAGGGGTTAAGGATATCATAGTTGAAATCCAGAAAAGGAAATGGACATGGGCCGGGCACGTAGCACATAGGCATGATAACCGCTGGTCATTAAGGGCAACTCACTAGATTCCTAGGGAAGGCAAACGCACGAAGGGGAGACGGAAAGTTAGGTGGGCTGATGAGGTTAGAAAGTTCACCGGGTATAACACGACAACGAAAAGCACAAGACCGGGTTGATTGGGGGATCATGGGAGAGGCGTTTGCCTTGAAGTGGGCGTAGTCAGGCTGATGATGATGATAATTCCAGGCATGAGTCTGGAGTGCACGCTCATTTGTGCACACTTCTGTGTACCTTCCTTCGAGCTTAAAATGCCACTGCCTTCGAAAGTGGTACTTTACCATAGCTGCTTGAAAGTTCTGTGAAAGTAGACTTAAATGTTACTGCCTTAGATTTCTATGTCAAATGTCCGAGCTAGCATCATGGCTTTGCCTATGCATTTCCTGATGCATGAACTATCTTCTTTGAATGTTTGCCTTTTTTTACCTGCAGATCAAGCCACTGAGCGCCGTGTCTCGATTAGAATGGGCATTTTTTACCATTTCATCACTGAGCCTCTTAGTGTCCCTAGGCTTCACAGTGGAACGCCTCATAAGCCTAGAAAAGGACACGGATGATTACACTTTTGCCATTATGTTATGCTTCACATCATGTAAGTTATTTATTGAAGCTATGGCATTTCAATACAGCTGTAGCATTGTTTTTGTAATCTCTTCAGACACCACATGTGACACATGGCATGAGCTTGATATAGCTTTGACCATCGCCTCCGGTGCTTCTGTAGTTTTTTATATTTAATTTTGTTGCCCATGTTTAGTTTAAATTGGGAGAGTCAACATCCTCTCACACATGCATTTGTTTACTAACTTACATTAATATCTTAACCAAAATTATTGTCCTGGTGTATTGAATGGTATTAGCTTTCATTAACTCTTCTGAGGATCAGCACAATCACTTGGGTCATTTATTTATTTTTTTTTCATTGTACTCGTCTTATATAATATTTATGTTAGACATACTTAATGTAAAATATTGAGAAAGCACCCCTGTACGTGTAAGCGCTGCCCTCCCTTCTTTAGTAGATTTAAAATATGCCGCGTCTTCTCCTCTGCCACCATTTTCACTGTTTGTATTCACCCAACTAGGGTAAATGAAAACAGTGAGTACATGCGTATTCAATAACACATCTAATTATAAGCACAAATGTGCATTCTCTTCTTTCACCATCTTCAATTTTCATCTATTACCAAGCAAGGACCCCCTTCAACTCTTGTCGAATTATCCTTCACCGTTAGGGTGTTAGGGGGGGGGGGGGACATGCTTAGAATTTATGGTAGTTCAGTAAAGTGTTGGGGTAAGGTTATTAAAAACAATAGTCTTTCTTGGGATACCCGAAGGCACAATTTTTGGTCTATCTGTCTGGAAGTGGGGGGGGGTGGGGTGCAATAGCTGTGCCATGTTACAAGAAAGTGAGACAACACAAACAACCTGGGGAAAAAATCACCTTTTCTGGTGGTTTGCGTCGTCTAGTTTTCTTTTAAGCTGCCCCATATACATATTGATATAATAAGGGTACTGCAATGACCTTTCGAAAACCCTCCCCCATGAAGGGCAACACTAGGCATAGTAGAGTTTCTTTTTCCAGTTGCTTCTCATTATTAGGTTTGCCAGTGACTGTTGAGTGAAATTCGCCAAACGATGAGCAAAATGTCGCCGAAAGGTGCCATTTTTTTTTTTTCAAATATCACCAATAAGGTCGCCACTGAACATATATGTCGGTTGCTTATTTGTAAAGATTTCTAATTATGTATAGCTGCGTGGAGGTCCGTACCATTCGTAAACCCTGAATTTGATTGACGTTTTTCAATGCCATTCACATCACCCGCTTGAAAAAACAGGGTAAGCCCTATTCCCGCCATGTATTTTAGGGAACTACTTTTTCCTCCGTAATCATAAGGGCTACAGTAAGTATTTTACTTTCATTGTGGTGATGAGTCATTCCCCTGTTTATTGAAGCAGATTTAGTACTGAAAACTGTAACAGTAATATCTATAATTTTTTTAAATTCAGGTACCTAATTACCACTAAGTAGTAGCTACTAGATGTTGTGTTACAGAAAAGCACTTCCTCACACGACAATAATTCTTCTTCGGCGTGTTCCCTGTGACGTTATTTAGCTACTGGTCAAAATCAATGATTCTAGATACTGTAGTTGCTGTGAAAAAGAACATATATACAAACAAAGCATGTCTTGAAATAATCACATTTAAAGTTGAACATCTGCATTATTTCAAAAGTACACCGAGATAGCAGAAAATTGACGGACCTGTTCAGTAAGCACCAGCCAGATACTTATCACCAATATTATTTTGTTCTTTCTGTGTTGAAACGCCTTGCCTTTTGAGCCTCATTTGCCGCCTACTATACAGCCGTGTCAACAGAGTACTGTCGACACAGTTCAAGGATGTGTAGGCACTGCACTGTGCAGTGCCTTGGCAAAATTCCAAAATAGTTAAGCACACTTACAAGGGCTACATTGCCATCATTAAAAGTGAACACAGCATCAAGATGGCATATTTACAGTGTTTGATGCCTGTGGAAAACTTTTTTGGAGTGCGCTCCCACATGACAATTCGACATCTTCTGGTTTTGAATTTTCCTACGGAGGCATTTAGCTAGTTATTCTCGATGAGCTAGTTTCAGATAATTTGGCGTAAAAGCCTCAATAACAGATGCTGGAAGGTGTTCTTTATGAACGAATGGTTCACTATTCAACTGGGCTTTGTTGAATCAATATCAAGTTTCGGCGTCCTTCAAGCATAGGCCGTGGAATTGATTGGTATTCTTTGATGGCATGAAAAAATATATGTGGACTGGATAGCTTTTCGCATGTCCTCAAAGCTGGCTCTGTTTATTCTAATGGCCCAACAATAATAGCTTTGGTGCTTGCCAGTTATGATGCCAACAGGACGTCCCCGACCACGTATAGATAACCTTACAGAAAGCTTGATGCCTCTCCTTTTTTTCGTTTTGGCTGTTCTGGCCCCATTCTTTTCTAAATGTGCTATGTGCACTCCTGCTTGCAAACTGTAACTTCTTCATATGGCTACAATGCTTGAACTGCAAGGGATCCCTTGCTACGTTAGAATGGAGGCATAGCAGGCTGCGCTCAAGTTTTGAAATATGTCATTTTCACAGAAAAGAAAATCGTATTAAGACAAACAAACGACTGATTCTGGTTCAGAAAAGGCTACATATTTCAAATAACGCAAAAAGAAAAAATGATTTTCTTCAATATTTTTGCTTACCCTGTCCCCTTAACCATGGGACCATAGGAGTGCTGACAAAGGGCATGCATGCATTAGCAGCGTACCTGAATGCTAGTGCCTCATAACAAAACTTTGTGATGGGTCAGTCGTAGCAAATACAGAAGGGAGCATTCGCTACATCAAGTGAGGGATGGCGTGCATAGCCTTCATGCAGATTTAGAGAACTTCGTTGCAGTAGAATTGAGTGTCTGATAATTGAAGAACTTAATTACAAAGCAATGAAAATAACCTCAAAATTACTGTGTAACCATCGCAATGTCTGCACCATGCTTTCTGTGTGGTCATGCTTATGCCATACATTCGCCTCAATGCAGTTTCTTTAGGCTGCCCAAAGAAGCCCGACTTCTTCACCCACTTGAAAAGCATGTCAATAACAAATTTAAACTCAACATACCGAATTAGGGAGTACTGCAGCAGTGAAGAAGTCAACAAGCTATTCACGACAGGTGGAGCAGTGGTCAGAACATGTGACCTTACTGTCACCTAGCCACTTCAGAGGCGAAACTTCGAAGAAGCTTAAAGCTATTATTAAAGTACCTAAAAACATAGTATAACACCACCGCCTCGTGGCATGGGAAGCAGTCCACTGACCTAAATTTTGCTGGGAGGTTGCTGGCAGATGCACTAATGTGCCAGTGCCTAGGATTTAGCTGAATTAGTAGATACACATGAAAAATAGGACAGGTGCACTAAATTGCGTGTAAAGTGCTCATTCTACTGGTAGGTCTGAAACTACAAAAAATGGAAAAAATGTTGCCCATTCGCTTTGAAGACACTAAGTACAGAATGCATAACACAGTCGAGAAATAAGCCGAAAATTCGTCATGTCGCCATTCAAAATTTTAGGTCGCCACGGGCCTTTCATATTCGCAAATTTGGCGAAAAGTAGCCACCTGTGGGAACCCTGCTTATTATTAACTGGGAATGCTTCCTTGCAAATGTGCACGTGTGCACGTACCACTTTCTTATTAATAACTTTCCTTGATGACCACATGCTATATGAATGAACTTACTGCAAGATATATGTAGAAAAGGCTATTACTGGTGTACAAGCTCTGTCAGGTAGCTATCACCAATTTCTTAAGAGGGCTCTGAACAATCTCTCATACTTGTTGAAAAAACACATACAGTGGAATTCAGGTGCTATTATGATGAGCTTGGCCGAAACTTGCAGTCGTGTACGTGTGGCCAGGAAAGCTCACAAGTGGATTGCTAAGTTTCAATTTCTCAAGTGCCATTCCTTCATACAGAGGCCCATACTCATACTATGTGGAGAGCCATCACATACGACATCATGCAGTGACTTGCTGCCGTTGATCAATAGCTGGCGTGAGTGGAGTTTGGATCAGGTTCACTACACGACATGCTTCAAAGTCCCCAGACGTGGTTTCTTTCCCCTTTGTTATCGCCCCTGTGTAGCTTACAGTAAGCTCGTAAGGACAGTAGACGAGGAAAAGTTCTTGAAGCACGCGGCAAATCCCGCCATTCTTGACAAATTCAAAAACGTTTACAGCGATAAATTAGTTAGGCAATAAACTCCAATATTGACGTCAGTCAATGATTGTTTAGAAAGTAGATTTACGGCCCCTTTCAGTGGTTCACCTAACCAGAGTTGCGGAGAGGGATTCATCACATTTGCTTCTCTGACACCAGTGTTCTTGGTTGTTTTTCTTTCTAGTATTCTGTTTCTTCTACATCGTGCATGGTATACTGAAGGAACGATACCATGAAATTGCTGTCTTCATCTTTAGCAGTATTCTTCTACTGGTGTATTTGATCCTCAACGTTGTCTCTCCAAGCCAGACTGCTCGAGCATCAATTCAGAAAAAGGTACAGTGAATGCACTTGCATAATAAACTTGGCAAAGAACTCTCCAAAGCTTCCTTTTTTTATTTTCTTAAGTCTTTATGGACTTTCATATTCTTTTTAGCTATGGTAAATAAATAATAGAGAGATTAAAGAAATATTTAAACAGGGGGTGTCACTAGAGCCAACATTTCAACAAGGGAACTTGTCTTCATCAAGGCAGCATCTCTAACGTTGACAAAGACAAGTACCATTGCCGAAACATCGGCTCCTGTGACCAGTTTTGTTGAAAGACTTTTTCATCTTTTGAAGCCTTGCTCTTCTTAATTTACATCTTGTTTGTATTTAATGTCAGTAAAGAATTCGATATCCATACCAGATACGTCTTTGGGCTAATACGCGAAGGCTAGAGCAGTTCAGGATGCCAACCAGCTCATGTCCCATGCAGGTGCGACTAGGTGTGGCTGTCTTCTTTTTACTTGGCATCATCTACCTCGGTGGGAAAGTATCCCATAGTTACTGGAGTGAGCGCAGGTTGCTTTTTCGCATCAATGCCAAGGAAGACTTGCAAGCCATGCTCGGATGGCTTTTCCTCTGCTCCTCTCTCATCTTCTTCGACGTGCAGTTACAGGTGGGAGCCTGGCACAACTTTTCTTTGTCTGTTAGCCGGATAACCCACAGATGGGGCTGTGGCAGTGGATTAATAAAAAAAAATGAGAAAAAAAAGAGACGTGTGGCTTTGCAGGCGTAGAGTACTTTGAGACTTGAAAGTGGAAGTGCTTGCAAGGAGTTGGTATTACAATTACGCTATGTTTCTTTGGCCTATGCATGTGTGGAGTGAGCTTTTTCTTCTTTTTCTTTCTTTTTTTCTTGCAATAGGTAGCCTATGATCCACTTACCATGACTGGAAACCTCGTTTGCGCAAGTGCAGGACTGTTATTTATTTAGAGACGTTTTTGAGCACCTAGTCTCAATTTCAATTAGCGCCGAGCTGGTATGACACTGCATTGATGTTGGCATCGCGAGGTGCTCTGCATCTCGCTCAGTCGTGCACCATCCACTTTAAAAATTGACTATATCCCACTCAATATCTCGCCTTCTGTGTTCCTTTAAGTTGCTACTTATATATCAATTGACAAGTTCAGAATACAATGGGCACAAACACTTAGTAAATTCTCTAACATCATGGGACAGGTGAAGATTTCAATTCCAGCATCCCACAGCAGTTACATTTCGGGATGCAGAGGCTCGGTGGGTGAATACAGTGTGGTAACATGATAAAAAAAAAAACACTACACAGTTTTTATATGGAGTGTTTCTCTTAATCTGGAGTGTTTTTGATCTGGAGCTTGCATTTAGTTACAATGGTTACGTAAAATTATTTTAATTCCATATATACGACAAGCTTGTGGGTTAACAAAAGAAGGGGCTGGTTTCGCATTCTTAAGCATGACGATAATTACAACTAACAAACAAGAAAGCTAAGAAAAGTACAGAGGATGTTGTTTGCTGTAAATATCATGTATTATAAGTCAAGGAAGTAGCATGGGCGAAAGGATAAATAGCTGCTGACAGGGATCAAACCTGCAACCTTCGAATAACACGTCCTATGCTCTACTAGCTGAGCTACAGTGGCAGTCATTCATTTTATGGGGTATATATGTGCATTTAAACATGGAAATGTTAGCCAGCAGTGCCAGAACGTTTGGAACACTCCCTGTGTGCATTACGAAACACGTGATCTTTTTTACTAGATGGCAGCTAACGAAAAACGAGCCCTTAAAATTTTTCTTCTTTTGTTTCTTTATGGCAAGGATATTGTTCTGGCTGGCTGGATGCCTTAAAAGGGCCATTCAATAGGCTACAATTTTTTTTTCTTTTACACGCCTCAAACAAGGTCATCAGTTGTTAATAGTAGAACGCGGCGACCACATTTTTCCAATGTTACAGCGCTGCACGCTGTGCAGACTCTCCATTTCAAAAAATAATCCTCACTCCTATTTCCTTTGCCTGATCAATCCTTCTCGTACACGTAGTGAAGCAGGCTTGCTCATGGGCAACTTCACGTACCACTGAACCCGTCAATTACTAGTCCCTTGCCCTACTAAATGGCTCCTTAGCCCTGTGGTGATGCAGTTCCAGCCGGGCAGTCCGTATTTTCATTTTCTTGTTCTGCCCTCTGCTGTTCTGTAAAGCCCTAGACTACAGGAAGAAGCGGTATTGCCAGAACGAAAGGCTCTTGAAATAAAGAGGCACCTCGCTTCTTTACCACCAGGGGAAAGGTGCTCCTCGAACCACTTTTCGTCCTTGTGCCGCTATGACACATGCTCACGTTGGGGATGCCCTGCTTGGTCGTTGGTTGCGTGGCGATGACGTATTGCTGATGTCATGTCACGTTGCCGAAGTGGGCGGCGTCACGATGACTGGCGACACCTTCCCCCTCCCTATCTATGACGGAGGAGGGTGGCAAGCAGCTTCGCGAAAATTTGAAACCAACACAAATGGATGTTTTAACCTTTCTAACTTCCTTGTTATAGGACGTATTCACAAAATTTTTATGGCAGCATTTTCACTTAGCAAAAGTTTTCATTTTTTTTTTTTTTTTTCATAACAATTTTTGGACCTCGGGGGTTCTTCACTGGCCTTGAACTCCGGCGTTATTTTGGCATTTACCGATTTAAATAAAGCTTTGAAAGCATGTTCTCGTCGGTACCATGGCAATATGTGCCAAGTTATACCACCGTAAGTCATTTAGTTTTTCAGAAAACAAATTTTAAAATTCATTGCCGATTCTGGAATCACACTTGTAAATGTGGGCCACCCTGTGTATGTGGCATAAGGGCCTACTCTTTTCCAAGAACCCTGCCTTTCCCAGAAGAAGGATGCAGCGCATGCTTTATTTTACAAGGCGACGGCGATGCGAGCACAGTTTAGTTATGCCAGCTGCATACGACGTCTTAGTCATCGTTGACATCAGGTCTTACAATATTGAGCAATGAGGAAATCGATTTGGTGCATGTCAAATGCTCATGCGCCGGCGGGTCGAAATCAAAAAGCGACGCTTTCCCGCTCAGATAGCAGCTGCAATCATCCCTGAACATGTCACTGGTAAGTCCAGACGAGCTGGCGCAGCTTGATTCTGCGTCGGATGACACCGTCAACTTGCTTTTCACGCGTCAGAAGAGACATGGGAGCTATGTTTACTCCCTGACGAGCCGTGGCGGGGTATAGCGGATTTCCTGATGTCATCAGCGACAGACTCTTGTGACGTCATCCAATACCCACCATGGATGGTGGAGCAGCTCGTTTTAATTTCTGTTTTGACTCGCCCTTTATTGCTTAATTAAAAAAAATTGACAAGTTCCTGAGCAAAACAAATCACCCTAGCTTTTGCAGGACGGTCAATACTATTTGAAAACAGCGTTATCTCAGTATGGTCGAAAATGCACCGGAGTCCGTTTAATATCTAACCGCAGTGATTATGCGAAATCAATGAAATTTGCTGGGTATGTTCCTTTGCACTTTTTCATCATTTACGCCGAATCGCAGGTTTGAGAGATGGGCTGATTGTTTATAGATGAATTTTAAAGATTGCCTTGGTGACGTCATGTTTGGCAAGTCAATGGAAGTGACGCAGCCAATGGCATCGCTAACTTTGGCTGCTGCAGCATTTACTGTGCTGACCACAATGCAACGGTGGTGGTGGTTGGCACGGAAAAGCTTTGTTCCTCCCCCTGTGGGCATGAAATTTAAAATTGGAACTTCGACCTTGATTTTCTCCTCTAATAGTGAACTTATGATAGTGAAACATTAGAGTTCTCGGAGTATTAAGCTAAACCAAGGCATTGTTTTACTTTAGTGTCCCTTTAAGGTATATGCAAGAGAATGTTTGTCTTCTGCAAGCTTCTAAAAAAAAATCACGTGTTTCATGGCATTAGCTGACGAAAAAAGAGTGGTCCGCACTCACCATCATGGCTTTTGATGGCGTTAACACTCCCTTGTTTAAATGCTCATATTTACCCCGCAAAGTGGACGGAGAGGACTGTAGCACAGGGGCAGAGCATCAAAAATGTTATTGAAAGATTGCAGGTTCGGTCCCTACTAGCAGCCACTTATCTTTTTGTTCACGTTACTTTCTTTACATTTTTATTATGCTTACTGAAAACATCTCCTATACTCTCCCTAGCCTTCTATTTAATTAGTTCTCATTAATATTGCAGGTTGTATTCAGTGATAGCACTGAATGGTTATGGTTTAGACATGGTTATGGCTAAACAAGAGGCGAAGCACATGTGAACTAAATGAATCCTTTCATTTAGGGCACCATGCTCATCTTTGTCATGAACCACGGTACAGATGTGAGTCACGTCGAGATCATTGTGCTGGCTGTTGGACCAGTTGTGACCCTGGCTGGGGCCATTGCTGGGGAATTCACTGTAAGTATAGTGAACTATCGGTGCATATTTGCATTTTTATTCTTTAATATCGTGTGCAATGTAGTATCATAATTGTCTAGTTCACAGTCAATGTGTTTTATCACAATGTATATATTTCAGAAATTGTAAACAGCACGTGAACATTACTGGCTGTGAGCCTCGCCACTGTGGTCTAGTGGCTGAGGTACTCGGCTGCTGACCTGCAGGTGGCGGGATCGAATCTCGGCTGCGGCGGCTGCATTTTCGATGGAGGGGTAAATGCTGTAGGCCTGTGTGCTCAGATTTTGGTGCACGTTAAAGAACCCCAGGTGGTCGAAATTTCTGGAGCCCTCCACTATGGCGTCTGTCATAATCATATGATAGTTTTGGGACATTAAACCCCACAAATCAATTACTGGTTGTGAACTTATGTGGCGGTCTCATGAAATAGCTTGTACAAGCTTGCTTAAATGCGCCACAAGTGCCGGCTGTGAAGAGTGCTCCCGTAGGGAACTAGATAAACCACTGCTTTTTTTTTTTTTTGTCTGATGAGTGTAAATGCCCTTGACCTAGCAGTCAGGGGCATGAACGGTGAATCACTGAGTCATCCACTGATGTTGCTTATGATCTCATGCTGGAGCAATACTATAACAGTGAAGACCTACGCTTTAATTCAGACCATTTACTGCCAGCTTATTTTCTGCGTAATTGAACCTGTGGACGGCTCTATCATGTCGACAATGTCGAACCTGCCACAAAGATTTCCCAGGGGAATTATTATCTTAGATGCATACTTCGTCAGAAGAAAATTATGGCAGACTCACTGACCGGATGTAACATTGGAACTTATACAAACTTATTATATGTGAGTGTGTTGTGGGACAGCTCAAAAGATAATGTGCTTTTTGTGCAGCTGACAGTGGCATTGCTCTCACTGTTATCAGCCCTGTTTTACTTGGCTTTACATGTGTTAAGGTAACTACAGAGCGAAAGCAAAGCTCCTCCATTTTAAGGACTGTGATAAAACTCCTCTTGGCATCATGTTTATGTCAGTTGCTTTGGGACGTGTGGAATGAAAGCACAATAGTATTCCTGGTTCAGCCACTAGTGGTGATGTAGCAGAAATTGTCCTGCAGTTATGGGAGGCCGCATAGAAACGACACAGTACGCTTTTTTAGTTAAATAAGTGCAGTCATAGCACCATCTGGGTGCTTGCGTGCCAAGGGGTCTAAAGTCTTGAGAAGGGGACCCCAAAAGAACCTCACCACCTGAATGATAGTTTAGAATGCCACAGTACAAACCTCATAACCCCCTTTTAAATACCTCTGCATGGTCATAGGGTATAGATAATTCATTTGTAGTGCAGGCTGGGTTCTATAGAACCTATAACCTCCAACGGATGTGGTGTGAACCCATCCATGAAACTGCAGATCATCATATTATAGTGTTTCATACTCGTGTACAGTCAAACCCCTTTATAAGGGACATTGATATAAGAGACACCAGTATGCCTACAGTAATATACAGGTTGACAAGAAAATGCATACGAGGTAGTGCTGTGCGTTGCTGCCCGTTTCTGCTCACGCCATTCGCACCGCCGCCGAAGTTCCAAGAGAGACCACGCCACTACCATCGTCGCCGGGCAATAAGTGCGGCGTGCTGCCGTTTGTCTTATTTTAACCCAAACAGGGAATTCGGGAATAAAATACATCACTTCCCCTTCTTTTCTGCAGCTTCAAGATTTTGCGGTGTCTTGACTGCTCTCCAGTGTCCGTGTTTGCATGCCCTCTGATATAAGGGCCCTAAACAGCTTTCGAAGATACACAATTGAGCGTGTTATTCTCTCTAGGTGTTTCTCATTCTTTTGGCGCTCTTCGTGGCGCCAGAATGGTGATCCATGTCCCAGAGATATCAGTTATCGTTCCCCCCTTCTCCCCCGTTCTTCCTCATGTCTCGGATGATTATCACGCGCGATGAACTTGTGATTTCGCTGCATTTTGTGAGTTTCTGATTGCGCAAGTGGAAATAACAGTGTGTAGCACACAAGCTCGAAATCCTGATAAATAAGCTCAACGCTTAGCACTCACATATTGCACACGTGCTTTATGAAGACATACGTGTCAAGCCTGTAAGAATATTAGTGGGGAGTGTAGTGGAGTGGGATGGAGATCAGAACCAAAAGAAGAGGCTCCAGACTATATCATTCTCCCAACGGACGAATTATTTACAGCAAAGACGATGCAGCTCTCAATCAGAAAGGCCAGCTTGCTTCAATGGTTTTTGTATATTTTTTATTGTGAGAAGAATTATGTGAACGCTCTCTACGGGCTTTCATGTTCCACTTAAAGCCTGAATGAAAAACTTTTGTACGCACACTGTATGCTAAACCCGCTGATAAAATCTCGCAAATGCTAGTGAGGAATGCTGCTGAAGCATAGATGAAACAACCTTCCCATCTCCACTGCACGGAGGACGCATGCGATACCATTATTAATTACAACCACCCTTTTACTGTGCCGATGTTTTCCGCCTCTTCTCGTTTTACGAGACAACTAACCTTTGGTAAGTGGAATATTCCATGAACTAACAATGCATATGGCGAACCGATTTTACAGTTCGCTGGTATTAAAATCTGAATGCTATACTTTTTATATAAAAGTGTGTTCAAATTTCACCAAAGCACTAGAACAATACTATTTAGAAGAATGTTCTGATTTAATAATGACCAGTCATGTTCAGTGTGATGGCTGTCCTAATTTTAATATGTAAGTAGTGGTAAGTCTTTTTTTCTCCTGTGTTAACAGTTTCTTTTTTTCTTTGTGTGGTTATTACATGTACTGTACTGCTTCTTTTCAAATTCTTTATTAGATAATATATGTCTTCCTAGTTATGCTTTTCCGAAGTGCCGTGATAAAATGCATATTTTTGGACCCAAATTAGCTAATAGCTATGGGTCCACAGAGTGTGTGCAAACTTTATGAAACAAGTGTGAGCAATAAAATTCTAATTTCAATTCCAATCATTCGGCATGCGATGCCTGTTGCCGATTGCTCCGTCACAGAAAGAGGGAGACGCAGTGTTGTCTGTATAACACATCGGCGCGAAATGCAACATGTCGCATTCTGCGCTGATTGCCGTCGGGTGGCGCCTGGCGTCAGACTATAAGTGCTCGCGTTTTGCTAACCTAGCGTCACTTTGCCCAGTGTGCTCACGCGTCAACGCTACATTGGAGTATATTGGGCCCTTCATGATGCACTCGCGGGCCTTTTGCTGGCTTTACATATACCAAATTTGGTGTTACGTGATGTCAATGAATGACGAAATATATGACTGGTGCAAACATGATAATCCTGACACGTGTGTCGTGTAGGAACATGACAACATGCCACGCTCACAGCGTGCCCGTGGCCATTTTGCTAGCTCCACATAAACTAAATTTGGTATCACGTGACGGGAATAGATGACGAAGGTACACGACACATCCAAACATGATAATCATGACACGGAAGTCGTGTACGGCATCATTTACCTCCACTTCGTAGTGTTTTGCTGATTTTAAAGTTACATATCAACAATTCTCATTCGTGTTTCGCATATCATCGACTCTCACTGGGCGTGGAATGCGCCAATTTTTTTGTGTGGTTAACATTGTCATAGTTACTTAGCACTGTGCTGTATGGCTTTGCATATGAGTCTAATAACTTCACGTGAACCTGTTTTCTTCATGTATTCTGCATGCTGAAGTGATCAAACAACTGTGTGTTACAAAGTAAATGCTGTGTGTTCCTATGGCTACTTTATACTTGAATAGCTTAACTGAGTATTACTATAACACCTACAAGCATGTGCTGGAAAGAAATTCTCTCCTCCTCTCCCGTTCACTGCAGATTCGCAAGGAAAGCAAAGTCTGGCTGTCCATTTTCGTTGTGCTATGGTTCCCCAATGTTGTCTACATAGGCCTGAAGCTATACGACGTAAGTTGTATGCGCAAATACTTCTCCACAGATGCTCAGCCTTTAGCATTGAGCCATAGCCAGCTTAGTGCAAGCATACAAACAGAGTGCAAATATACATGAGAAACATTGATCAGCTTTGAAGCAAAGCTTGCTGCCCGACCAGGATAGGCATCACTGCTGCTGAATTGCGCATGCTTTTTGGGTTGATCCATATCATGACTGGAATATAGTATATAGATATACCTATTAATTTTATATGTGCTTCAGATGCCAGGTACAAGTAGACTGACACTTATATATTCCTGTACATTTACCTACAATGTAGTGCTATTACGTGCAACTTTAGTCTGTTTAATAGAGAAGGTGATTTACAGAATGCACGAACATATAAGGTCGCTTTGTAGTCGTCGGTTGAGTACACCAACCCATACAGTCTGTCTCACAATATATTGGCAGCACAGCCAAGGCTACGAACCTCAAAAAAGATAATTCAAGGCTTCATGCTAAAAGTTCTTTCAGTGTGATCATGTGCTGCTTGGCCTATAAGTTCTCTGCTGATGCTTGTAGTTGCTTGAGATGTGTGTCTTAACTAGATGCTGGATTATAAACAAATGTTAATTTGTTCCTGTTTAGTAAGGCTGCATTATTGTGGGTTTTGAGCAGAAATCTAGGGTTACAGGGTCGTCTTACAAACATGAGCCCAGTAAAGCTCGCATGAAGTAATAGGTAGTTTTCTAACATAGCATATATAAGGACATGTAAAAACATTAACAAGTAACCTGCAGATACGGTCTGTACCAATCGACCAAATATACTATGTCTATGGTTTTATGGCATTAAACAACATTAATTATTTTGAGTGCTTTCATGAGCCTGGCTATTTCATTTTTTTGTAGCTGAAACCCAGCGAATCATGGACAGTTTTGTACAAAGCTACAGTGGCGTGTGCTGTGGTTGCCCTGCTTATCCGCTTGGCTTTGGCTTTCACCATGTACAAGGTGGTGCGCAACTTTGGCCGTGGGCTTCGAGAAAAATGTACGTGCACACGTGATTTCATACGGTTTCTATCTGATGGCTGAGGCACGTCTAAACCTAAAGTGTCTCCATGACTGCAAGTACACCTGTGAAATCAGTCATTGCACTTAGTTGTTAGCCTGAAGTCGGGATCTTGGAGTGAGCCAATATTTGTAAGGAAACATTTCAATGGTTGAGTTAATCCTGGTCTCATCACTGCTTGGTGTGCAAGCACTGGAATTTCACAATTGTGACATGCGTCTGCAGCATCAGCTGCCTAGCAAAATTTTCAATCACTTAGCAGAATAGTAGTTAAGTGTCACTTTAACAGAAGCACACCTGTCCTCAAGGTACCTGTGTACTGTAAACTTCACAACTGAGAAGTATGCTGTTGCGATGTTGGCTGGCTACAGTGAAACCTTTTCTTGTTGAAGCTGCCTTCTCCTACCATTTTCATTACTCCATTTACTGAACATATTTTTTAAGCCACTTTGTTAAGCTTTTTTTTTACAGGTACGATGCTCGAATGCTTCAGTTAACACGTCTAGTAAAAAGCTTCTGACCATGCTTTATTTCAAAGGTCAGGTGCAACACTGTAGAAGCTATGCAAGAAGTTCGGTCAGCAATATGTGCGACCATGCGCATCTTGCACTTGACTTTCATTGTTGTAAACGCTCGTGCGAGACAAGCACGAACGTGAATGCACAGCTTCGTGAAAGGCCACAAATAAAACATCAAGAGGCGAGAACAAATGAGATGTTAGGTGATCCAGAACAGCTCATAGACAGCCATATAACGGGGCGTCTTTTATCTTTGACGCGCAAAGCATCTTCATGTATTGCTAAGCCCAAAGAGGAATAGAAATCATGTCGATGGAAAAAATCATCGTACTATTTCTTCATTGCAAGAAGTCTCGCTAGCCTCCACAGCATTACACCTGATGTATGAAACAGTGTCTGTTGAAACTGGGACCTAGTAGTAGCCTCTGATGTGTGGCCCTCATAGAGCAAGCTTAAGGCATGGAAGCAGCAAATTGTCCCATGTATGTGCACGGCCTCATTGGCGGCACTGCGCATGACATTAGCCCACGATCGGCACTGCTGAAAATATCGAGCTCACAGCGACCTGCTTCATCTAATCAGGAGGCGCCACTTTTGCCGCTGTCTCCTGGCATTTATTTTCTCATGACGGCAAAACATAGCAAAAAAGGAAGGGAATGAGAGAACAGACAGGACCAAGCTGTTTCTATCGACAGTGTATTTATTTGTGTCTTACACTATATATCGTACACAACACGAATATCTTGTATGCTTTATTTTTTTGCACAAATAAACACATTTTTGGTCACCAGCGCTTGGTCCTGTCTATTCTTCATGTGTCTTTTTTTCACACAGTTTGGCATATACGCTATGCATAAATATATGATGTCAGTTGCATCACCGCATTTGTTTTAATACATTTCGGTGCTGTCACTCTTTTTTTTTAATCCTCAACAATTTTAAAACATAAGCTGAATATGCAAATAGGGCTTGTCCATCATTGCATGGTGTGATTGGCTGTCCAGAGAGGCAAGTGCCGCATTGTTATGGCTTAGTAGGCGGGCATCATTAACAGCAGCTCAACAGTGTGCCCAGTGCATTTTTCGATGCACAGACTTCCGATGCAGACCTTTGTACGGTGAGGGTCGGCCTTAATACATAGTGCAAATTTACATTCATAGAGGTCATAATAATATGACATGGCCAAAGTTACCTGTGGCATGGTATATAGTACTACAAGGGAGCAAATGCGAGCCAATTGATAGGTATTCATGGTCAAAAAGGCTATGTAGACATCGTCAAGATCGACCACAGGACCAGCACCGCTCATGTGTGCATTCTTCTTTGTGTCTACTTTGTGCTGTTCTTAACTATGAATAGTACTGCAAGTTTAATGTGTTTTCTCTGTTCACATAAACTTATACCCATCTTGGCAAGCATAATGTCTTCACAGCTTTATGAAGTAGAATCATAATTGCCTGCCAATCCATCATTACAGTGTCACAGAAGCGCTACTGAAACATATACTGCACAAGCTTGTATTTCTTCTTGTTATGCCAATTTTACATCGCACTTTCCAGTTTTCCTCTCTCTTGCTGTTTCTGTCTTTCTTTTTATTTTATTTTTTACTAACATGCTGCTGCACATTGCCTGTGCCTTTTCTGCTTGAGTTTTTGTGTCTGTGAGCGAACTCCTGCTGACTAACTGAGGAGGATTTCCTTAAACTGTGGAAAGCAGTATCTGCAGGAGAATCATTGGAGTCGCTGCGCCCTTCCACTTACTACCGCTACTCTGCTCCTGACGTGGGCGTAGCTCATTCGCCCGGCAGGTGAGGCTTTTGCAAGCTGTGGCAAAGGCTCTTTGCACGTATGGCATGCACCTATGCGGTGGTGGGCACAACCTGTCGCACTTTGCATGGCAACACTTTGTGGCGAAAAAAAAAAAATGCTTGTGATTCAAACCATCAGTTCGTGGAAAGACTGCAAGGGTGGAGGACAGAAGAACACGTCACGAAATCATCTTTATCCAGAGGTGCCCAACCAGCTCCCACGCACAGCTTGAATCCCCTTCTCTCAACAAAAATACAGGCTACCTTCGGGTGTAGAACAAACCTTGCAAAAGGTGGTGCTTAGGATGTAATTCTCAAAAACAAAAATGCTTGTGCTTCAATTGTTGCAACATATTATGTCCTCATTCCCTGGCATTTATGTTCGCCGCACTTTTTGTTCTTTTTACTGTGTGATAAAGGTGTGCCCTACTGGTAACTGCGAGTCAAAGTGGAAGCTGTTTGAGCATCCAAATTCTATTGGGATGCACTTCAAATTCTATTGGTATCCACCACAATGATAGCGATGCACATTCGCTCAAAAAATATAGACTACCTGTTATGGTAGTATCGTAAGCAAATTGCAAGGACATGGCGGATGTCCTTGTACCTGACGAGCAATTCTTGGTGGCCACTGTTGAAACAGAAATTGTAAATGGTGCCACAGTTTGTGTTAAATGTTAATACTCCCTCCTCACTAGTGTTGATGTGAAACGGTGGCTGATTGCATGTTGCCGGACACGCGTGATCATGAGGTTGAAAAAATTACACAGAACCCAGCAGCCTGCTGTCTACAGCATTGTGCAAAATAGCACTGTTAATCTGTTTTTTTTTTGTTCGTTGTTTGTGTTTTGCTTGCAAAATGAAGCTAAAGCAAAGTGGGAATTAAAAAAAAATGGCACTGCTTTTTGCACTGCATAAGTGCTACAACAACAGCCACAATATCAAGCCATCATCCGTGCTATGCCAGAGTCCTTCAACTCCTTTGTAGTCACGGAACTCCAGCTTCATTGTCATGTGAACTAATGCCCACTGCCAGAGGTGCAAGAGTGCGTGTGAGGGCATGGAAACACTGTATCAGCATGCTTAAATGAGGGTCAGCCTGGTATTCTAGTTTTCTAAACTTTCATAACACTTACTTTGCTTTCATGTAGCTACATTTAACATTCAACATGCATAAAAAAGGATTGCTGAAGAGCATTTTTGCTTTAGGAATGAGCACCCAGGCAAAAAAAAAAAAAGCTGCTCCAGGCGTTTCCAGCTTGCGGCAGTCCCATTCAGAAAGAAACAAAATTCAGGGTCGCATGCTAATGAGGTACATTGGAGTGAGCAGTTCGTGCGTGAGGAGGTCGCCCGGCAGCTCTCCATTTTATCGAGCACGCTCAAACCAGCACAAATGCATCCTTTGGCCCCAGATCATCTCCGACCATAAGGCACGTCATACAAGATGAGGTAGTCGATGCTTTGCCTTTCACTCGTTCACCTCCGCTGGAAGCTGCACCCTTGACGTATGTGCAAGTCTTTGCAGCCAGAGCACCTCCACAGCTCACTTATGCTACCTCACCAACCTTTGTTTGGTCATCACCGGCTCCATTCAGCCGATTACTTGTGGCGTTTCTGAATCTGTGGCACACCACATACAAACGCCCGATTAGCTATTCTTGCGGTTACGCCAAACATGTGGCTCCTTTCTGCCGCCGCGACCTTCTCGTTCACAGCGATATCATGCAAAGATCGTCGCACGACTCTCTGTGCTTTAACGACACAGCACGTGAACAAGGATCTTCACACGACCGCCTCCCCTCAGTCAGTCACCGATCTCCATCCCCCCGCCGTCGCTCTCTGTCGCCCATGCGCCGTCGACCCTGCCCTTCAGACACGGAAAACTAGATGCTGCAGTTCCCGAGGCACGAACTGTGTCAGCGTCGAAAGAATCAAATCCACGCATTTCTCTGACAAACTTCATCGATGTTTTTGTGGATGGTTCCCATACCCTTGCGCTTGTCGACACTGGTGCTGCCGTTTCAGTAATTGATTTAAAACTTTGCCGCCTGCTTCGAAAGGTTACCACGACGCCAAAGAGATTGTCCCTCCGTACTGCCAGTGCTCACATATTCGACCATCAGCTGCCTGAACTGCCCGTGTTCTCATCCAAGATGTTTTGTATATCATTGAATTTCTTGTGCTACAGGTGTGTTCTCACGATGTGATCCTCGGCTGGGATTTTCTGTCTCTTAATTATGCGGTTATTGACTCTGCTCGTGCTGAAGTGGCCTTCTCTGCATTGTGTGCCTCGTCTCCGGAACTTGCCTTGAACAAGCTGCTTGTCGCCGACGACATCGACATACCACCGACTAGCACAGCCTTTGTTCCCGTGTCTTGTGCCGATGTGTCTAAGTCTGAAGTGTTGTTTACGCCTTCCCAAACATTCTAACGTTGCAGGAACCTTGCGTTGCCGTTTGCTGTCCTAAATATTTCGGTAGGCGCTACCAATTCGTTTGTCACGAATCCCTTGTCGTGTCCCACAATCTTGTGTCGCGGAGAATGTATTGGAACATTCCAAGACTTAGATGTTTCCTCCTTCTTTGGCCTTGACGGTGAAAGTGATTTGCAGCTTAATGCACTAATGCCATCTGCTCGTTCACGCTAACATTAATTTGTTTGGCCTCTCAATTGACGGCAAACTTGAAGAACCACACCGCAAAAAGCTTCTAGAACTTCTTCACCAGTTTCACGGCTCATTTTCAATTGCCAGCAGACGTCCTTAGGTCGAACGCACACCGTTGTCCATTACATTAACACTGGCTCTCAAGCGCCTCTGCGACAGCGCCCCTACCGTGTATTTCCTGTTGAACGTCGTGTGATCACCGAGCAAGTGACCAACATGTTTCAACGTGGCGTCATTTGGCCGTCCAGCAGTCCCTGGTCTTCACCTGTGGTGCTTGTAAAGAAAAAAGACGGCTCGATTCGCTTTTGCGTTGATTACCGCCGTTTAAACAAAGTTACGCTTAAAGACATATACCCTTTGCCGCGCATCGATGATGCCCTGCACTGCTTGCAAGGCGCTCAATTCTTCTTATCACTAGAACTACGGTCCGGTCATTGGCAGGTCCCCATGGTACCATCACATCACCCATAAACTGCTTTTGTGATGCCAGATGGGTTATACGAACTTACGTAATGCCCTTTGACCTTTGTAATGCGCCAGCAACATTCGAAAAGATGATGGATAGCGTCTTGCGTGAGCTAAAATGAAAGACATGCTTATGTTACTTGGATGATGTTGTTTTCTCCCCTGATTTCGACAGCCACCTCCATCATCTCGGCGAAGTCTTGAGCTGCCTCACGAGCGCAGGCCTTCAACTAAACATCAAGAAGTGCCACTTTGGAGCTCGGAAGCTCACAATACTTGGCCACGTCTCGAAACATGGCGTCCTCCAAGACACAGAGAAGCTTCAAGTTGTCGCTGAGTTCCCGAAGCCTACGACCGTGAAAGCGCTTCGCAGCTTCGTCGGACTGTGCTCATACTTTCGCCGCTTTGTGAAGAACTTTGCTTCGATAATCGCACCACTGACACAGCTGATCACTGGCGATGGACACCTCTCTACTTGGTCGCCAGCATGCGATGATGCTTTCGCAACATTATGCCATCTCCTTACTTCACCACCTATTTTACCCCACTGCTCCAACCAAGGTGCACACGGAAGCCAGTGGCATAGGACTTGGCACTGTCCTTGCTCAACCCAAGCCTGGCTTCTCGGAGTATGTAGTTGCGTGTGCCAGTCGCGCCCTCACCAAGGCAGAGCACAAATACTCGGTTTCCGAAAAGGAATGTTTGACCATTGTTTGGGCATTACAAAAATTTCCTCCTTACTTATACAGATGCCCATTTGATGTCATTACCGATCATCATTCACTCTGATGGCTCGCTTCATTGAAGGATCCTTCGGGCTGGCTTGGACATTCGGCGCTACGTTTGCAGGAATTTGATATTTATGTTATTTACCGCTCAGGCTGCAAGCATACCGACGCAGGCGCTCTCTCTCGTTCGCCCCTTCCTTCAGCTGTTGCATTTGTTTCCTTTGCCGAAGCTACCATCAACAGCATCGATACCGCTGACACGCCTGTACGTTCGCAAGTACATACATTCCTGCACTGCATGTGAGCGACGGAAAACAACTTGTCATGTCTCTGGCGAATTACAACCATTGCCGTGTCCAGCTCAGCCGTTTGATAGAATCGGCATCGACCTCTACGGCTCACTACCTTGTACTCCTGCTGGAAATCGCTGGATTATTGTGGCCGTTGGCCATCTCACCCATTACGCTGAAACCGCCGCTTTGCCTGCCGCTGCTGCTTGTGATGTCGTCTTGTTCATCTTGCGTAGCTTTCCACCATGGCTCACCACGTGAGCTGCTTAGCGACTGTGGCATGCAATTCTATCGCAAGTCGTTTCCGTAGCTTCTCAGTGAGTGCGATAGTATTCACCGCACCACTATGAGCTATCACCTGCAGACAAACGGTTTGATGGAGCGCTTTAACTGCACGCTCGGTGATATGCTAATGGTATATCCTCTGACCATTCTAATTGGGACTTGGTGCTCTCTTTCATGACATATGCGTATAATACGGCCACGCAAGCAACTAGTACTGGGTTTTCAGCTTTTTTTCTACTGTACGTCGTGAGCCCTCTTCTACGCTTGACACGATACTTACTTACCGCCCAGCCTCCGAACTTGTTCAGCGTGCCGAAGAGTGCCGCCAATTAGCACCTTCATTTACGTCCGTCGCACAAGGTCTCCAAAAAGAACGGCTTGACAAAGACAAGCCTGCTCACAGCTTCTGCGCAGGCTCATTTGTATGGCTTTTGGTTCCATTCCCGGCCTCTCCCGAAAGTTTGCACCCAAGTACAATGGTCCGTACCGCATCGTTCAATGCACATCATCGGTCAACTACGTCGTCGAACCAGTGATACCTGCCGATGACAGACGATGCTGTGGTCGTGAGACAGTCCACATCAGCCGCTTAAAACCTTACTATGATGCCCTTGTGCTTGCTACGCCGTGAGTCGCCAGGATGGCTCCTCTTCACCACCGGGGCAAGTGTAGTAGGGAAGAAAGAGAGAGACAGTGTCTAGTCAGAGCAGCTAGAAGATGACTACGACTAAGAGCCGAGCCCATGACAGTGACTGACGCCCCTGAAACCAGGCAGTTGGTTTTAGTCAATAAACCCCCTTATAGTTAACATATGTTTAAAGCAGTTCTGTGCAGCTTTTCAAAAAGTTTTTCATTACATAATGACGAGTTTTTCATTGCAAGTTGCATCATGATGAGTGTACAGCATATTTAGAATATTTAGACAAACTAGAACAGCTATCCAGATCTTCTCATGTAAACTCCAGTAGGATTGTCACATTAGAATGCTAGTATAGTAAGCATAGAGGTCTCTTTTGGGGCTGTCATTCTTCTAACCTTTTGTGTGTGTCATATTAATGTGTGCTGTTACATGAAGTTTGTATGAGTGTAGTTTGAACGTACAGTTATAAGTGCAAAACTGATAATACTGTCAAATTTTGTTTAAGGCAAAATGTTCTGGGTTCTTCTAATAATACTTGCACTCACAAATTTTAGTAAATGTATCATGCAGCATAAGTTCCAGCATCATTGCATGTGCCAGGATTCTATTCCCTCTCTAAACACATTCTGAAGCATGTCTGTCACTTTGTGGTGCTTTCTTCGTTGGCTGCAATGCAGATTTTTGTAGGGGACAGCATGTTAGAGTGGACCATAAAAGTGCGTGCACTGCATGAATGCTGCATTGATACTTCATACACAACTCAGACAAGCAGCTAATGGCTCTGCATAATTTATTTTCATGTGTTTCTATTAATTCCTTTCATGCATAGCTGTTTGCATAACTGTCATCAGTCTTTCTTTTTTTTTCTTTTTTCACCTAACTTTTATTTTATTTTTTTACATTTTCATGAATGCAAGTTTGAAAACCACCATGCTTATTGAAGCTTTTGCTAAAATGACCTCTTGCTAATTACCAGTTAGCCATGCTCAATTGTAATACACACCTCATTTTCACAATTACAAGCAAAAAATGCAATGCCCTTCATCTAGTTGTTTTTATTGTAAATATAGAGTAGAGGAGATTTGTGCAAAGACAAAAATTATTATATCCGAGCCACAGTACACTAAGCATCGCTTGTCATCACTTTAAGGCGCTTCTTTACTGCTAACAATGGCCCATATCTCATTGCTGTGCATAGCATTTGACCTATGCATTTCTTAAATGCCTTGCAGACTTGACAATTCAACAAATTTACAGAATGGGCATGCATACGGTTCCAGCGACAGCAGCTTCTACAACTGCAGCCAACATGTGCAAGAAATTGGATTACTGCAGTTCTGAACGCAAATTGCAATTTGACTCTTGCACTTTTCTTTTGTGCTCCATAAGGGATGTTCAGTTTAAAGTTCTCTTAGAAAAGCAAGCATTACAAACAAGTAAATACCATATATGGTAAATGCTGAATAGTGCTGACTGTTTCTGCTGTTTCTTGTCTTTCAAGGCTACATTCGTCGGACTGCTTTTGGAGGGTGTATCATATGTGACATATTTTATTACCAAGGCACATCAATTGCATTGTCTTGTTGAAGGCAGATCCAGATGATTTTGTTTTTAAAAGAGAGGTTAAAATGACCATTTAGACTATGCTCATGCATTAAGTGATGATGTCTTGATGATGGCTAAAACATCAATATTATCAATAACAGCACTTTAGTCGAGATACTCATTTAAGACATGACTTGCGATTCCGGTGGGAAGTTCTTGTGATTAGCCTGATGACGTCAGCTTAATGCTGTCATTAGCACAACAAATATAGAAAAGTCATTATACTGCAATGCTCTTTTTAGTTTCATGATGCACAAACTCACCCAGCAATGACTTTCTCTGATTAACCGCCACACCAACAATCTCGGAGGCTATGCTATTGTGTACTATGAGCCCCTAATTCAGCAGTGGGAGCCAGTAATATGTCATTGCTGCCATGTATAAGGCGTCACCTTTTAACAATTACACACATGGTCAAAAAGTTTAATCGTCCTCACACTTGCATTTCAGTAGTATAGTATTTTGTGCTTTTCTGGCTTTGCTTGATAGCAAAACTTCTCCTAACTGTGACAAGGTGTTCAGTGCAATGATGTCATGATGTAATTGCTCAGGCATACAAGGAACGGATGTTGGGGACAGCTAGCTACTAAGACAATAATATGCTGCACTTAAGACGAGACGCCACAGTTCAGTACTGTATTTGTCCTGCCTACTTCAGCTTCAGTGTCTCATCGCAAGCAGAGTCTATATTTACAGAATAATACTTGGGCATTGACAACAGTAAGCTGAAACAGTAGTTATCATATTGTTGCCCCACCCCAGCATCATCGAGAGTTCAGTGCCCTCAGTGAGAGGGATATAATACTAGCTACATAAGTCTCATGGGAATTCATTTCTTCTGTATACTTACAATCAACATTTGTTTGCAATGAAATGAAGGCTAAGCCACATTGCACAAGCGCTATTTCTAATAAACAGAGTCCCACAGTTGCATTCATGTTTCATACTCACGAAATAAAATGACATTACGTCACATTTACAGGAAGCTAATTGAAAGAGGATGCAGCACACACTACCGAGAGAGATATCTATATTTTTTTTTACTTAAATGTGTTGTCAATTCGTACTTTTGCAGACATGTGAATGGCACTCCTTTTACACACCTCACTCCCATATTCTCGAATGTCCCTTCCGTCAACGCTTCACTCGAGGAAGCCGATGGGAGCGCCATCTTTTGGCAGGGCTAGTCACTGCGCATCAGCGATAATGTGCTGCTATTCTTAAGTAGCGCAGCTCCATTTTCAGTCGAGCAGCGGCGCTGTGCTCAACTCTTGTCTAGTGAAGGGTGAAAGTCGAGTCGAGGAGCATTTGTGAATATGGGGGTCAGTCTCTAAATGTCATTTGCATCTTAGAGTGAGCATCCTTCACCTTCTAACTCTTTTGTCTGCTTGCCTCAGAAACTTCAAAAATTATTTATGAATGACTGTGTAAGCGGAAAAAACAAATGGTATGCAACACCGTAACTTCCAACCCCAGTGTGAAATGCACATAAACCAAGCTACTGCATGTAGGAATACTGTACTCACAAAGTGAAACACAAAAATAAGACTTAGTAATGAAGATACTTTTACTTCCAGTGTCTACAGCTTGTATCATGACAGCAAAATTTTTACTTGAACACTTGCATCAGGGCCGATATTGCCCTTAATGGCCTGATTTGTGGCGATATGACATCTGCGGTGGTGGCATGATGGTTACAATGCGTGGCTGCCGACTCGAAGGTCATGGATTCGATCCCGGCCATGGAGATCACATTTTGATAAAGGCAAAATGCTAGAGACCTAAGTGCTGTGCTACGTCAGGGTATGTTAAAGAATACTAGATACTTGAAATTTCAGGTAATGTATACCACGGCTTGTCTCATAATCATATTTTGGTTTTGCATTGCAGAACCCCAGGTATTTTGTTACACAGTTATCACGAGTGATTCCTCATAGCACTCATTACACTAAAAAAAATGTGTTTCAATCCATGAGTATTGTAAACATACAGAAGCTCCACCCCAGCTCTCTCTTTGTTGCCAAGAAAAGTTATTTGTGAGTACACATGGTTACGTCATCAAGATAGGCATGTCTGAACGTTTGCACAAGCTCATCTGTTCTCTATTTTGCATTGGTGGCCCTGGGAACTACAGTGGAAGCCATTGGGACCAATCAGTCACAGGCAACTGAGCATGCTGGAGTTAAAGCGTGACCTGGACTTAGAGCATGGTTGCACTATGTGCTGTAGAATGTCCCATCAAGAGTGCCCTTTCAAGGATGATCAAGATCCAGTGCTATGCACCATAGCTCACAACAGCAGTGTCTGCAAGCAACCGGCAAATGTTGATGTGCTCTTTGTGTCATGCTATTGAAGTTTGGATGCATCTATGCATTTGTGTGCCATCTTGCAAAATGCTAGTCTCACTATGAATGAACTGCAGCTGATAACCAAACATAGTCACTGTCGCATAGCAATTGAGTGAGTTAGCTTAGTGCAACATACTTCGGTTACATTATTTTGGATGCGACACGATTAAAGCTGTGTGTTTCATGCATCAGGCGGTGAGAGCTACAAACAGCAACGTGCGGTGACATTCCATCTGTTATATTCTGTTCATGTGGCTTCCATTTCATGGTAAATGCAAGCAAGTTCCTAGTGTCACTTTTTTATTTGTGCTCACAATGAACATTATTTTCGATATCCTCATTTGTATGTCGCAGAGCTTGATTTTATTGTTCACGTGTTACATTGTTCTTATTATATAGTGATCTCAATATGTGCTGAGCAATTGTTAGTTCACTGAACCCTAAGTCTTAGTGCTACTAGAATTATATGTTACTGTGTATCATGAAAATACACCTCAAGTGCCTTGTGTGTTAAAAGCTGCCTCTTATATGCTTTGTCAGCCTGTGTATTGGCAATATTTGTGCCTTAGTGTATTGCCCCAAGTTCTGCAGACTGGTTGTGCCTCAGCAGCACTCACCTGACTGCATCTGCTCATCGCTTGTGTTCTTGTGGCTTCTGTTAAATGACAGTTTTTCGTGAATGCTTGAATTATTGCACGACATTCAGAAGTGTCTGTGGCAGGCAGTCATGAAAGATGTAGTGGCACGTGTCAAGTATTGGAATCTCATCATCATATTGCACCAGTATTCAGACTTGATGAAAATGATTGTAAATTTTTGTAGTGCACTTTCTCATCTTGATTGAAGCAAATGTCAAGACCTTCCCTTCTTGAGAAAACAGAAGAATGAGAAATTCAACCATGGGGGAAAAAAAGTCAACCACTTGGACAGCCAACCACTTGGACAGGCAGACACACTGCCAGTGTGTTACCTGCCTTTCTGTCCTCATCCAAGTAGCAACCCCCTCACTATGTTCAACTAACGAGCTCTGGCAAGCACAATTCTTGGAAAAAAGAAGTTTGAATGACTTTTTTTTTTTTTCGACTGTTCTTATCACTGCACCATCGCATTGTGAACATGAGGAAAGTTTGCATTTACTGAACCCTTACTGCGGCATTAATGGTCACACAAGTTGGTTTAGCCGAATGGCAGTCCCCTCTGGACACATGTAGAAAGCTATGCTGTTTGTGACAGGATAAAGTTAGTGGAGCACTACTTTTAACTAAACATGAACTTCTCAAGTAACCTCAAATTTTTCAGATAAAAAAATTTCCAAACAAATTAAAAGCCTGGCATCACTATTTACTGTTTACTTTGATGTAGAGCTTTAACGTGTAATGTTTTTTTTGATGACCCAAGCTCATTGCGTCAAAACGTGTTCACTTGTTACACAACTAAGCCTTCAGAGGAGCCCTTCTGTAATGTAGAGACTACTCTCGATTACAGACTAGTATTCTAATAACTTTTCTGGTCAAACTTAGTGCTAATCTGTGGGCCATCTATAGGAAAAGTACATATCATTGCAGTCTTAGTCTCCGATGCATACATTTATCTTTGGTTCTCCTTCGTATCCACCTGTCTCTTCAGCATACTATAGTGCCCTCTTTTTTTCTTTATCTCTTACCTATTCATCACTCATTTTTTATTCTACACCGTTTTCCTTTTTAGAGACACTAGCAGTTGTTTGCTGCTCATCTGGCGGTACTTGCCAGTGAGCTCTCTCAACTCTTTATCTACACAAACCTAATGGTAATTACCGTCCTTCTAGCAGAAGCTGGCAAGTTCGAAATTGTCAATGTGTCACGATCTCGTCAACAATGTCTTCCCATATGTGTTGTTAATGCCGCCACTTGCAAGCAAATTCTCACACCTGTAATCTGAAGGCACTTCACAGAATGTTGCATCCTCTGCCATTGTTATTCATGGAAGTTCACTGTTTAATGTCAAACAAAGCATTAATAGAACCCTTGTCAACCACGCAAGTTACGTTCCTGTGTTTCCTCGTAAAAGATGCACCGTCATGTCATTCAAGACTGCATGTAAAGAGATACTTGTAAAAATACGGCATTTCTAGAAATGCCAGCATCTGTGACAGCATGACTTGTTTTTATTAAACATCTGTACAATAGCTCTCAGATTCCTACTCATAAGGCTTGGCTTTGCTGCTCCGACTAGGGTGTTTGAGTGCATGTATAACTTCAATTATGCTTAATTGTAATGTTTTAATGTCGGGAAAATATTTTAACTATGCTTTGGAAAGCACTTGCAAGTGAGGTCAACATATCCAGAACCGGTTGTGAGTTATTTACCAGGATGAACTTTGCTAACTTGTGTACGAACTTGAGGAACCCTCTAGCAAAAAAAAAGTATTCATAAGTATAAGTTTTCTTACAGTGCACCTTCTGACTTGAAGATGAATCAACTCAATTCTTCTTCCATGCTGCTAAGCAGATGGTGTTAGAGATTATTCAATTTGTTAACTAACTAAACACAGCCATGAGAATTGTTTCTTGCAAAAGATCAGTCTTGACAATCAAAAGTCCTCATGTGCAGGTGTGCAGTTATGCATCAATACAGCGGGCTGTATTTGCACTCCTCCATCCTGAACTGTGACTGCACTGTGTGTTTCACACAGGCCTGGCATTCTTTTTTTGTGAGGGCAATTGTAGGATCATTTATGCCGTGGTTGTCAGCATAGCTATCAAAGGCGATATCGCCCCACGCATACTGTTTGTTCCATGTGCAAGTGAAAGTGTTTGAGGACAGCTGACGATTGCGGCTCCAGCAGAGAGGGACTGAAGCCACGTTGGCCGCCTTCTATAGGTCCACGGATTCGGGAACTGCGTCCTTTCTTTGTAGCTCTGGGGAGGTCGTGCGCACTCTATCTTGACAGGGATCTGCAGACAGCTCACACCGTTGTACGTGCTGTGTTCTTACCATGGAGCTTGCATTGAGAAATAGCATAAACACCATTTCAATTGTGGCTGCAGCCACATTTCCGTACCCCGGCACTTTGTTGAGTTACGCGAGGTCGGATGCTGGATGCTAGGGGGGTTAACTGCTAGCTCTAATGTGTATTTTCATTCCAATTTGATGCTATCACACTTTCGTTTTGCGCAAAACTGTGGTGGCACTGACTCTGCTTCATTTCACAAGTAAGTCCACTTTGGAACCCCGAAAAAAATAAATTTGAAAAAGTATCAAGGCTAAGAACTGCAGGCTAGTTGGTAAATGTCGAAATCGATAAAAACCAGCAGGGAAACACGAAATACAGATAAAGAACATGACATGACGGGCTCAAGGCACTTACAACTGATAAAAACATGCCTGAAATGCACCTTCATACCCTCCGCCAACCACCTTGCACATGCGTGAAGCAGCCACGCATCAAATAATGCAAAAACCTTAACTTCTAACAAAAGGTATCTAGGGAAGTCATCCGAGTCGTCTCTTTCACAGACAAGTCACTGACACCATTGTTTCCCTTAGTGCGAAAGCAATTAGATGGACACACGGGCAATTTTTGTTGTCGCTGTCATGTCCCATATATATATATATATATATATATATATATATATATATATATAAAATAAGGGAAAGAAGTGTATACCTAAGGGCTCGTTTTCCGTGTTTTTAACACAATAATAATGAGATATAACAGACAGTAATGCCAAGGAATGTACAGGGGAAGTTATTAACATTAATGGAATGTAAATAAGAAGAAAGAAAAGTGGATGAAAAAATTACCAACTGTAAGCAGGAATCGAACCTACGACCTTCGAATTACGCGTTCGATGCTCTAACCACTGAGCTATCACAGCGGCCCTCCCTCCATCCACTTTTTTGGGTTTATCTGTGAATTTAGAAGTAGGAGCGACAGTCAGCGCCATCTATAAGCCAAACAACGAGTGTGAAAACACTCTTATGCGCATGTTTGGCGTCACGTAGCACGTGAACTTATTATGAGCGGGCAGCTGATTAATTGTCCCTCTTATACAACCTAAACACACCAAGTCTGCCAGTACGAGACCCTCGTTCAATGAAATAAGGGAAAGAAGTGTATACCTAAGGGCTCGTTTTTCCGTGTTTTAACACAATATTAATGAGATATAACAGACAGTAATGCCAAGGAATGTACAGGGGAAGTTATTAAAACCAATGGAATGTAAATAAGAAGAAAGAAAAAGTGGATGAAAAAATTACCAACTGTGAGCAGGAATCGAACCTACGACCTTCGAATTACGCGTTCGATGCTCTAACCACTGAGCTATCACAGCGGCCCTCCCTCCATCCACTTTTTTGGGTTTATCTGTGAATTTAGAAGTAGGAGCGACAGTCAGCGCCATCTATAAGCCAAACAACGAGTGTGAAAACACTCTTATGCGCATGTTTGGCGTCACGTAGCACGTGAACTTATTATGAGCGGGCAGCTGATTAATTGTCCCTCTTATACAACCTAAACACACCAAGTCTGCCAGTACGAGACCCTCGTTCAATGAAATAAGGGAAAGAAGTGTATACCTAAGGGCTCGTTTTTCCGTGTTTTAACACAATATTAATGAGATATAACAGACAGTAATGCCAAGGAATGTACAGGGGAAGTTATTAAAACCAATGGAATGTAAATAAGAAGAAAGAAAAAGTGGATGAAAAAATTACCAACTGTGAGCAGGAATCGAACCTACGACCTTCGAATTACGCGTTCGATGCTCTAACCACTGAGCTATCACAGCGGCCCTCCCTCCATCCACTTTTTTGGGTTTATCTGTGAATTTAGAAGTAGGAGCGACAGTCAGCGCCATCTATAAGCCAAACAACGAGTGTGAAAACACTCTTATGCGCATGTTTGGCGTCACGTAGCACGTGAACTTATTATGAGCGGGCAGCTGATTAATTGTCCCTCTTATACAACCTAAACACACCAAGTCTGCCAGTACGAGACCCTCGTTCAATGAAATAAGGGAAAGAAGTGTATACCTAAGGGCTCGTTTTTCCGTGTTTTAACACAATATTAATGAGATATAACAGACAGTAATGCCAAGGAATGTACAGGGGAAGTTATTAAAACCAATGGAATGTAAATAAGAAGAAAGAAAAAGTGGATGAAAAAATTACCAACTGTGAGCAGGAATCGAACCTACGACCTTCGAATTACGTAATTCGAAGGTCGTAGGTTCGATTCCTGCTCACAGTTGGTAATTTTTTCATCCACTTTTTCTTTCTTCTTATTTACATTCCATTGGTTTTAATAACTTCCCCTGTACATTCCTTGGCATTACTGTCTGTTATATCTAATTAATATTGTGTTAAAACACGGAAAAACGAGCCCTTAGGTATACACTTCTTTCCCTTATTTTATATATATATATATATATATATACACTGACGCTCCCACGTTTAAATTCACACATATATATATATCTATTCAATAAAGTGTCTGGGGGGGGGGGGGGATAGCAGTCGTGATAGCTCAGTGGTAAAGCATCGCACGTGTTATTCGAAGTTCACAGGTTCGGTTCCTGCCCACTGCAAGTTATCTTTTCACTCGCATTTCTTTCCTCACACTTGCATTACAATTCGGTCTAATTTCCCTTTACTTTCCTTGGCGTTAAATCGCATTAATAGTGCATCAAAACCTTGAAAAACGAGCCCTTAAGTATACACTTATTTTCCTTATATATATATATATATATATATATTCTTTCAAGCGTGCTACGGCCCATGGCTTTAAAGGTTCCCACAGGCCATGCCCGGACTACCTGGAAATAGCCGCACGATTCGTAAACTGGGATGGGCCAACTACATACAGTGAAATTACCCAGCATTTCGCTATGGGTAGGAGAAACTTTCCACCTTTACATATGAAGCTAAATAGAGTGCAGGCGCTTACACTGCGATTAATGCAAACAGGAACCTACCCCAACCCTGACTTCTCTACAAGCTTTATCCTGAGGTTTATTTAACTAACTAGCGTACAAAATGTGGCGGTTTAGCCACTTTACACCACAAGCTCTGAGAGTGCCCTTTGGTATGCGGCACCGATACAGCATCGTCCAACAAGTGGGACTCCTCTCTCCCGAGTCCCACTCAAATTTTGCTTCACGATGTGCTGAAGTTTCTCGATGGTGGAGTCGGATCGCGTTGCTTCGTTTAAGGCAAAAGAGTGCTGGCCGCAGACCACCTCATTCTCATCAGCATAAAGGATTTCACAGGTGAATAAGTGGCAAGAGCTGCACTGAGCGTGCAAATATCGAGCCTCTTCGGCGAACCGCATCAGATTAACTTCAACTTGAAGAGCCTGTGTAACGAGCTAGAGGTTAGGTTTTCGAGGGGCCCGCTAGAGCGGGCCCCTCCAAAAGGTCCTAGCACTTTTGTGCTATGTCGCTACACTGGTACAGGAAAGGCCTTCACAGTTCTCGAGGTAACTATACGATGCGGCACATTCTGCCGATGGCATGTATCCCACTGAGTTGCGTTGCCCCGTCAAAAGGGGAATACGCATGTCGATACCTCAATTACTGAAAATAGCTATGCATGTTTGAGTCAATGTATCTTGAGATGAGGAAAATCGTGGTTTCGATTGAAATAGGAGTGCACCTTTTTTTCGTTCACCGATCCATGTTACTTACTCCCTTCAGTCACGAATTTAATTATCATGCACTGTCAGAATCGCGTGGAGCGATTCCAAGCTACTCAGTATTACATTGAAAGTAAGAAAATGAAGGAAAGCATTGTTCCGAATGAGTATTGATAACAAAAGTTAATGAGTGTGTAACTAATTGCCTAATTATTCTGCCACAAGTCAGTTTCAGTACTTGCATAAAAAGAATTTGCTATCAGGCCCGCAATGCATGCACAGTTTGTTTTCTGGTTGTATGTGTTTCGAGCAAAAAAAAAGTACTTTTCGCATTAATCTTTGAATGCGTCACGTCAAACAATCATCGAACATGGTATGCATCCAGCAAGGTGATCCTCTGCAGCAATACGCAGCATAGTGAAGTTAAATGATCGCCAGCTGTCCACTGAGAAAGTTGCACGAATGCGCACACCAAGTTTCAAGCCATTTGATAGAACGCGTGCCATGCCATTGAAGTTGGCCTCTCCATTTGTTTACCCCATGACGTACTGAAAGGGGTAATTACTATAGGTTTTTAAGGAATAAGGTTGTGTG